TATTTTTATTGATTTCAGAGAGGAAGGGGGAGAGAGAGAGAGAAACATCAATGATGAGAGAGAATCATTCATCAGCTGCCTTCTGCACGCCCCACACTGGGGATCGAGTCCAAAACCCAGGCATGTGCCCTGACCGGGATCAAACCATGACCTTCTGGTTCGTAGATCGATGCTCAACCACTGAGCCACACTGGCCGGGCAGCATTCCTGAATCTCTTTATCTTTGGAATGGGGATGGACAGGGAGGGATAGGAACAGATGGGGCCAGAGTAGGTAATGTTGTTAATTATTAGCTCCCCTCTTGGGATCAACAAGTCCCAGGGAAAGGGGTTGGCTTCTATAGGTGTGGGGCTACAGGAGGGACTTGGACACAAGATTAAGAATGTCTCTCTTTTTTTTTTTTTTTTTTAGTTTGTTGATTTGAGAGAGAGAGCAACATCTCTTTGGTACTTGGCTTATTTATGCATTCATTGGTCAAACCCACAACCTTGGCATATTGGGACGATGCTCTAGCCAACTGAGCTACCTGGTCAGGGCAAGAATGTCTTGTATTTCTTACAACTGCATGTGAGTCTATAAATATCTCAAAATAAGAAGTATAATTTTGGCTCAGTTGAGCATCGACCTATGAACCAGGAGGTTACAGTTCGATTCCCAGTCAGGGCACACGCCCGGGTTGCAGGCTTGGTCCCCAGTAGGGAGCGTGCAGGAGGCAGCCCATCAATGATTCTCTCTCATCATTGATGTTTCTCTCTCTCTTTCCCTCTCCCCTCCTCTCTCTGAAATCAATAAAAAATATATATAGTTTTTAAAAGTATAATTACACAAAACAAAATTAAGAATTTTTTTTGGGAAAAAAAGAATGTCTTGGTCCCTGGCAGATGTCACATGAATTGTGGAGGAACCTGGAGGAGGAGGAGGACAGTGAAACCAAAGGCCGGAAGCCAGAAATTGGCCACATCTTCCTCCTGGACAGAGGTAACTCACGCTGGCACTCCTCTCTCTCTGGGCCCAGAAGCAACGGGAGTATGATGTGGTGGCACAGGTGGGACCCTCATGCAGCATTGGTTGGGGGCCTGGCACCCGGGCCTGCGGAAGGCACTGGCGCTCATGCTGAGCGACCCGGGCAGCAGGCTGTGGCAGGGGGGCCTCACGGTCAGGGCTCTGGGTTTCAGACGTGGACTTTGTGACGGCACTGTGCTCCCAGGTGGTTTACGAGGGCCTGGTGGACGACACGTTCCGCATCAAGTGTGGTGAGTGGCATCCTGGCGAGATGGAGGGGCCCTCGGCTCCTGGGCCTCCTGCGTGGCACGGGGCTGGCGGGGGGCACCCAGGCGCTGGGAGAACTGCGGCTTCAAATCGTGCGGAGGCCCTTTAATGGCAGATCTGGGAGGGACAGGAGAGGGAAGGCCTCGGGGGAGACCCTCATCACTGTCCCCTTGCTCTCAAAGGGAGCGTCGACTTTGGCCCTGAAGTCACATCCTCTGACAAGAGCCTGAAGGTGCTGCTCAACGCCGAGGACAAGGTGCGGGTGTGGGTGCTGGCAGTGGGCTTCCCCGGGCTCTGCTCCCACACAGCGGGGGCACCGCCCTGGGAGGGGAAGCTGAGTCCACAGGACAGAGGGACCCCCACCAGTTAAGAGCGCACCTCAGGCCCTGGCCGGTTTGGCTCAGTGGATAGAGTGTCGGCCTACGGACTGCAGGGTTCCGGGTTTGATTCCGGTCAAGGGCACAGGCCTCAGTTGCAGGCTTGATCCCCGACCTCTGGGAGGGTTAGGGCAGTGGTCAGCAAACTGCGGCCTCTTGAGTGTGGCTCTTCCACAAAATAACACGTGCGGGCGCGCACGTACAGTGCGATTGAAACTTCATGGCCACACTCAAGGGGCCAAAGAGCCGCATGTGGCTCGCGAGCCGCAGTCTGCCAACCACTGGGTTAGGGCATCTCTCACACATCGATGTTTCCCTTTCTGTCTCTCCTCCTTCCTTTCACTCTCCCTAAAAGTCAATGGGAAAAATACCCTCGAGAGAGGATTAACCAAAAATTAAATTCATTCATTCATTCATTCAAAAGATAACTTTAAAAAAAGAGCGTGCCCCAGGGCACGTAGCAGGCATTGATATGGAGTGCTTGCTGCCACTAGCCTCTCCTCTTACTCTTGCTGGAACCGCTGAGCACCCTTCCTGTGCTGCCGTGACCTTGACGGGAAGGAAGGACCGGGTCCGGTCTGTACAGAAGTCCGTCCCGTCCTGTTCCCCTCCCAGGTGTTTCATGAGATTCGGAACGAGCACTTCTCCAACGTCTTTGGCTTCCTGAGCCAGAAGGCCCGGAACCTGCAGGCCCAGTATGACGTGAGGCTCCGAGCCCCGCCCTCGGGTCTGTTTCCTCCCTGGCTTCCCAAGGCTGCTGCCCCTCGGCCAGCGCTCTGATGCTACGACAGGGTCCCAGGCTTTCTTCCCGGGCCGGTGGGGGCCGAGGGAGGCCGGTGGTGACCTTGGGAGGGCCGTGGTGACCTTGGGACCTGCCCGCAGCGCCGCCGAGGCATGGACATCAAGCAGATGAAGAACTTCGTGTCCCAGGAGCTGAAGGGCCTGAAGCAGGAGCACCGCCTGCTGAGTCTGCGTAGGT